TATATATATATATATATATATATATATATATATATAAGCTTGACACCCTTATGCATTAATTTGACACCATCAAGATGTAATTTGTAAGCTCATTTCATAAAATAAGATGAGATTTTCTCACGCAACCATACAATGCATCTACTTAATCAAATGATGAGAAACAAAGTATACTGATTTGCTAATATAATTAAGGGAAAGTATAGAATGAGACCATGTACCTTTGATACAAGGTGGTCACATTAATCTTGACCATTGGATGTGAAATTGAGTGGCTGCAATTATTCCATTAATCAAGCTCAAACTTCAAAAGAAATTTTCTCAAACTTTGTGACATATCCAAGCTTTCAAATTTCACATCAAATGGTTGTAAAGAATTGTGACCACTTTGTATCAAAGGTAAATGGTCTCACTGTATACAATCCAAACAATTAAAAGAAAACAAGGAAGAGAATCTCATAATGTAGCACAAGTCTTCAGTATCATATTACCTTCGAGAAGCTTGTCGAGTGCGGTGCGCTATGCTAGCAGAACCATATCCATGATGCTGCAAAGACAGACATGCAAAAATGGAAAATAAACCAAAGAGTGTCGATATTGTATAGCAGAAATGCATGGCATCTTTAATATATCAATAATAGCACTAAACAAGATTCTTGCAAATAAATACTTGTATATTCAACCAAAACACATTCTTCAAATATCACAAATCAGCAAAAAAAATATTCTCATACATACTCTCTCACTCAATAGTTTCATTTATGAAAAAAGAAAACTCTACAAAGTTTCCCAATACCTGTTTTGGTCAGGGAAACAACAAGGAAAATAACAAAGGCATCAGCATGAAAGGAATATTGCATCATCTAACAAATATATACTTTAAAAGCAAAATTACTTGCAACACATTTGAGTGGAGAAATCCCTTGAAGAGCAAGATATCCCCTCTTCCACAACTTCCCCTATCTTGACACTTGCTAACTCAGTCTCCCAAAACAAAATTGTAGATAAGATATAATGTCCTACAGGCGGTTCTCACCCTTCTCTCTCTTTATAAGCACCACAGCTCTCTACATAGATGTGTAACGTTGTAACACACAGGTCCAAAGATCCAAAGATACTTTTATTTTCATGCCTACGTAATACGTGCATTTTCACATATTTACATGCATCTATGTGTGGGTGCACACATGCGCAAATGTGTGTCTATGCTATTGCTTTCTGCGGGATCCTTACTGATATGCTGCCATGACCAGGACCAAAAAAGAGACATCTCAATACATGGAAAGTTCTATGATTACCCATTACACCGATAGAAAGAGATAGTAACTAGCCTCATGGGGCAGGTCTTGCTACTTGTGAGGATGAGAGATCTATTTTGAAACCAGTTTCCATTAAGTGCCTAAATATGATGGTTTGAGCCTTGGCACCTTCTCAAAAGACAAAATAAGGATGCGGTTTGCATAAGGTTGCAACCTTAAACAATCCAATTAAAGCTCACCTCTAAATTTTGTCATAAACGTAATTTTGATATCAAAAATTCTTAGGATGACTCGATAATCTATTTTCATCGCTAATTATAAAATTTTAAACTCTAAAAATAGTTCAAATCAAGTAGATTTATAAACACATGAAAATCTTGAAAATGAACGGTTTAGATAATGTGTTGCAAGATACACTATTTTACAAACTCGAAATGTTTTTCTTTTCATATTCACACATCTCGATGTCGAGATGATCAATTAGAGGGTTTTCCAACATCAAAACAACCTTTTATGATGAATTTTTTAGGTGCATCTTTAATTCTACATTTTAAGGTTGCAACCTTATATAAATTTTTTCCAATGAGAAAAGGTAGTGGAGCTTTACTCGGAGATAAGGAATGTCATGCATATTGCTCAGGTCAATTGACATCAGAGGAGGTAACCAGAGGTTAGTATTGGGGAATTGTAGAAGGTGCAGATTCTTGTTATATTGGAGGATTGGGATGGCTTTCAAGAAACAGTTTCCAAAAGTTAGAACGTAGTACCTAAATTTAGGACAAAGTGGAGGAGACTTTTATTGATGCATATTGAAGCCAGAAATTAGAAATTTTGAATTGGATCAAATATGACTGGAGGACTTACTTTTGTCTCTCTCCGCAACAATAGGGATAAGCTCAAAAATTGTGCTCCCCAATGCTCTGAACTTAGGGAATAGAACTTTTGACTTTGGTCAAATATCATCTCAGCTATCATTAGTAAGCCAAAAGAAAAGCATAGGCACTCATATCAAAAAAGTACGTAGGATTAAAGTTTCTCAACCTAGATAAGAACATTTAGGTCAGCAGGCTCGTCATAGCCTTCTTTGAAACATGGAAGAATTACAAGTATGAATTACCAAAGATTCTGTCATTCTGACTATAGGTACGAGTATTTCAGTATTTCAATATATGATACTGAAGCAATAAAAGAAACCACAAGTTGGAAACTTTGGATGATATATTACATAGCATAAATTCTTGCCTCTGCACTTTGAAGCCAGCTGTTGAAGAGTTCTTCGCTATCTCCCCTGAATGACTGAGATAGGGTCCTGAAACCCATATTCTCCATGTTTGGGGCTGCTGCACCAATTGAACTGTCCATCAATGACTTCAAAAACATTTCTTCACTTGAATTCCTATAGAAAGCGGAATATTCCCTGTTTGAGCCGTCCATTTCCAAGCCATTCTTCTCCATATTGTTTCTTGGAGAAGACTTAGACCACATCGGGTATTGATGGACACCATCATCAGGCTTCTGAAGAGAATCATTGGCCGCATGTTTTTCACTTTCATTTTGAATCATATTATATACAATCTCTATATTCTCAGAGAGATATGTTAAGTGAAAGGACTCTAGCTTCCGGAGAAACTAATTGACAAAGACTCAATACAAATGAAGCTGTACAAACTAAATACAACCCAGAAAATTAAACCATCAATCCATCACAATGGATGAAAAGAAGTGGTATATTTAAACAAGACTGATAGACAAAAAACCAGCTAAGTTCAGGTTATGCTTCTGGCATGAGTGAAAATATGTGAAGTCAGAAAACCAGCAATTGAACTATAATAAAACTGAACTAATATTACAAGCCGGATGATTAAAAAATATCCTAAAAGAAAAAGAAACAAAGAAAGAGAGAGAAACTGGTAGCTTAGTTAAAAGATTAACAAACTGCAAGAGATAAAGAAACTAGAGATAAAGCAATTGGCTACTTCACTCAAAAGCTAGATGACCATAGAACAAACAAAAACAGAGGGGGTAAGAGGTGAATATTTCCTCTCCTGAAAGCTTCAAACTTCTAATATGGTTACAAATTTTCTGAGAGTTAATGAAAACTTGCAGATAAAGGAAAACATTACGTGTCCCAATCTTTTTTCAATTTGAAATTCCTATGAGCATTTTTTACTCATTTGACAAGAGTAATTGCCAGAAATCAACCAAAGACAGAAAGAAAGAGGGGAAGGAAAAGTTCACCAAAATACCAAAAAGTCAAAACAAATTGGAGACCTAATTTAAAAGATTAATCACTGAGAGAAAGACAGACAGAGAGAGAGGAAGAGAGAACACCAGCTCAACTATGATCAAAATCAAAATGCCCAAATACAACGTTAGAGAAAGACATAATTTATCATAATAGACTAAATTCAACTGCAAAAAGGGAAGATTCCTGAATTGATGCCCTAATTCCCCATTCCATACTCAAGAGAAATTTAAAATATATTTTGTCTGAAACCAAATACTAAACACTATCATAAAAATGAGCCCTATTTGCATGTTTATATTGTACAAATAAGGTTTTTGCATGTTTATATTGTACAAATACTAAAAAATACATTGCAACAAACTAAAAAACAAATTAAAGTATTTATGTACATGTTGCAATAAAATAGTACCAATAAAATAATAAAAATAGAAGGCATAGCCAACCCAATTAGTTGGGAAAAGGCTTTGATGAAAAATAGAAGGAATCCATTCTCATAATCCTCCTTAGATTCTCAAGCTAAAGACCAAATACAACGTTAGAGAAAGACATAATTTATCATAATAGACTAAATTCAACTGCAAAAAGGGAAGATTCCTGAATTGATGCCCTAATTCCCCATTCCATACTCAAGAGAAATTTAAAATATATTTTGTCTGAAACCAAATACTAAACACTATCATAAAATGAGCCCTATTTGCATGTTTATATTGTACAAATAAGGTTTTTGCATGTTTATATTGTACAAATACTAAAAAATACTTTGCAACAAATTAAAAAACAAATTAAAGTATTTATGTACATGTTGTAATAAAATAATAACAATAAAATAATAAAAATAGAAGGCATAGCCGACCCAATTAATTGGGAAAAGGCTTTGATGAAAAATAGAAGGAATCCATTCTCATAATCCTCCATAGATTCTCAAGCTAGCATTTGGCTGTTTCTTCATAGACAGTTCCTAAAAACACTGAAAAACCAAAGATTTTTAGGTATTGGCTTTGCAAAGTGAATTAAATTCAATACTGAATATTTAATTTCTTTAAAAAATGAAACCACTATTTAACGAGTTAGAAATTGGAATTGAACAGTGAAATCCAAAATTTAAAATGATGAGTTGGAATAAAAAAAGATTAGGGTTACCTGGGGATGGGGATGGGGAAGCGGCGAGTGACGCCAGCCATGAAGGGAAGCTTCGGGCTGAAAGCTACCAGCTCAATTTTTAAAAATTTGAGGAGTTATTATATTGAATATCCTTACAGTTTTTCCGAATTACGATGAGATCCTTCTGATTTTGGCGGGAATGACAAGGAGATCGTTACAATGTTTGAAAGCGGCTGTGTCATAGCTGAGCGAGACGGCCTGGTCAGTTTTTTGTTTTGTAATGACAGGAAAAATGGCGTTTTACCGAAAATGTCACGTTTTAGGCGGGATCAGGACTGGGTGAGCCTGGCCCTAGCCGGACCTGGGTGGGCCGACCAGAGCCTGCTCCCAACTGGTCATTTGGATCAGGCCTAATACACATAAAGAAGAAAAAGAAGAAAACAAGTTAATAAAAATGGGCTTGCATCTGGCCCTAGCCCAGGCCCGACCTTTCCTCGGACCTGAATCTATCTTGGGCTTGGACCCTAGTTTTTTAGACTCGTGTTGTCAACCCCATTGTTGGCCCAACCCATTTTATTTTAACATTATGGTTTAGTACCCTTTTTTTTTTTGTTTTTTTTTCCTTTTACCAACTTGGCCCGAGTCAAGGTTTTTATTTAGGGCAAGCTTTTATGCTTCTCCCCAGAGGATAAAACTTTTATACTTCCTCTTATCCAACCCTTCATTTTTAATGGAGGGCTAAGATTGCCCCAATCACAATGTCACGTCTTTACACTATTTTATTTTTAATGTTTTCTCTATAAATTATTTTGACATCAAATTTGGATGTCCAATCTTCTATTTAACTCGCACTAGTGGAAAATATAAAAAATTATATTTTAAAAAAATAAAATGACCAAAATACCCCTAAAAGTTTAAAGGGGTATTTTGGTCATTATATTTTATAGAAAATTTATTTTTAATATTTTTTATAGGTGCGCCCCAATGAGAATATGGCACGTACAAAATTTCATATTCATAAAAATTTTATAAAAAAAATTAAAAATAAAATACCTTTAGACGTCGGATCTAAGATCAAACTGTGAGTGACTCTCTTGATCAAAATTGGATGGTTGGATGGTAGGGGAAGCATAGATCTCCTATGTTTTAGTGGAAGTATCAAAATTTTTCCCTTTTGTTTAAGCCAAAATTAGTATGTTCTCGCTTGCACATAGTTTACCTTCATTTGCTAGCATTCTGGTAGCGGTGACAATTGGGGCGATTCAACTGAGTTGGGTCTAGGTCCAAGTCCCAGTCTAAGTTTTGGACCATATGGATCACGTCCAAGTCTAAAACCCTAGAGTTGAGTCAGGTCCAAATCTAGGCCGACTTGACTAGAAACGAGCCCAAACATACACACACACACATAAGTAGTTCCTTAACGTACTTAACATTGTTTTTTGTGTAAATGAATTTTTTTACAATTGTGAGGAGTAGGATAAATATTTCTATAAGACACTAGTGGTTATGAAGTAATCATTGTTCCATGTGGGTGATATTACATGCCATGTAGATAATGTTATCTTCATTTATAATTATTTTTTTTTTATAATAAAATTTTATTTTACCCCTGATTAATGACCTAAAATATCCATAGATAAAAAAGTTACTATATGGTGGGGGTAAAATTATAAAATATCTAAAATTAATAAGAGGGGTATAACATCACTTACATGGGATGTGACATTACCCACATTGAGCATACTAGTGGCATTAAATGCTCTATACACGTAATGTCACATCCCAAATGGATGATGTCACATCCCTCCTAATGACCAAAACTACTCTTATTAAAACATGCTCCATATATAAAACAATAGTAAACAAGTGTCTAAATTTTATTGAGTACAATTATAAATTGCTCTATATATATATATATATGGGAATGATTTTATGCAACGGTTGTATAATAATATAATGCAATCATCTTCAAAAACCATGTTAGAAATACTTGTTTGACACAAATTTTTAAATTTACACTCTTTTCATTCTGAAGAACAATCATAAAAAAAAAAATTTGAAAAAATGCTCTAGAAAGTTTTCATTCTAGCCCAATTAATATAAGCCGTCCATTTTATTGAGATGGTTAGATTTAGGCCTTAGAAGGATTTTTTTTATTTCCAATATTTTTATATAGCGTTATCATCATTAGATTAATAATGCTAAAAAATAAAAAAGTGATTTTGAATTTGTTAAGGCCTAGTTCTTGAAATTCACCAAACGGATGGTCAAGATTTATTGTTGGATGGGTAGCAATTTTGACCATATCTAGGGTGCAAATTGAAAAAAAAAAAAGATCATAGGATTGATTATGAGGAGGCAGAGAATGTGTCTGCAAAATTTGGGGTCATACAAATGCAAAAAATATGGTTCTTTAGAGGTGTGTTTGCATTCCTATATATATATGTGTGTGTGTGTGTGTGTGTGCGTGTGTGCACACGTGTGTGAGTGATTTCATGTCACCATGTCATTATAATATAATGAAACCGCACTTCTAGAAAACTATGTTTGTAGTATTTGTATGACTCCAAATATTTTGTAGACACCATTTTTTTCATCTCAATAATCAATTCCCAAAATTCAATTTAGACTCTAGATATTGTCAAAATGAGTCCCCCTCCAATAATAAATCTAGACCATCAAGTTAGTGAATTTCAAGATCTAGACCTTGACAAATTCAAAATCATTTTTTATTTTTTAAAGTATTCATCTAATGATAATAAAGCCATCTAAAATTTTGGGAAAGGGAAAAAATCATAATAAAACCTAGATCTAAGCATCCCACCAAATAGATGGTCTATGTTAATTGGGTTAAAAAAATATTTTCTAGTCTGTGTTTTTAAAATTTGCTTCATTTTGTTCATTGAAATGAAAAAGTGTATTTAAAATTTGGGATCAAACGAACAGCCCTAATATAAATATTGATTCATCATATTATTATACAATCGTTGTATGAAATTACTCCATATATATATATATATATATATATATATATATATATAAGGTGCAGTTTTTTATAGAGCCTAGGCTCTAAACAATCAAATTAGAGCCTACCTTCAAATATTGTCGAGAAATGCAGTTTCATTACTAGAAATTTTTGTGATAGCCTTAAAATATATTTTCACCTTTATTTATAAGGTTTAAAGCTTCAAAAATAGTGTAGATCGACATATTTAGGAAAACTTTAAAATCTTGAAAATTGACAGTAAAAAAAATGCATTACAAAATACACTATTTCCCAAGCTTGAAATCCATTTTTTTCTCATACCCATGCATCTTGATGTCGAGATGATCAAATTGAGGATATTTGGGCATCAAAACAACATCTTCTAGTGAAAGTTTTGAGGTAGGCTCAAATTTGATTGTTTAGAGCCTCTGCTCAAAAGTAGGCGAATATACGAAAAAATATCAAAAAAAAATTTTACATGAAATAAATTGACCAAAATACCCTCGAAAAATTTTAAGTGTATTTTAGTTAATTTATTTTTCACTAATTATTATTTTTATATATTTTTATTAGGTGCGCCTCACTAAGATGTACACACACTCCAAATCTCAGATCATTCTGATTTGTAGAAAGCAAATGAAAAATGAAAGACTACCAGATAATCGTGACCGTGCGATGAACTTTGGACAGTGAAGAGGGTATGGAAAATCACTGTTCATTATAGGCGTTGGGAAGACTTTTCCATTTCTATATATAGGAGCGGTTTCTATAAGGTTGCAACCTTAAACAATCCAATTAAGGCACACCTTAAAATTTTATCATAACATGTAATTTTGTTGTAAAAAATTATTAATATTATCTTAAAATCTATTTTCATACCTACTTAGAAAATTATAAATTCAAAAGATGGTTAAAATCAAGTAGATCTATAAATATGAAAATCTTGAAAATGGATAGTCTAGATAATGTGTTGCAAGATGTACTATTTTCGATATTCAAAGTTTTTTTTTTTTTTTCATAGTCATAAATCTCGATGAGATGATTGATTAGAGGGCTTTATCAATATTAAAACAACATTTCTGGTAGATTTTTGATGTGCACTTATAATTCTACATTTTAAGATTGCAACCATATATAAACTTTTCCATATATATATAATTAAACTTTTCCCCATATGGACACGATTTGCATAGAGCTTAGGCTTTAAACAATCAAATTAGAGCGTACCTTCAAATAGTGTCGAGAAATATAATTTCAAACTGGAAATATTTTTTATAGCCTTAAAATATATTTTTATCTTTATTTATAAAGTTTAAATCTTCAAAAATAGTGTAGATCGAGAGATCTATGAAAACTTGAAAATCTTGAAAATTTACTGTTCAAAAGTGCATTACAAAATACACTATTTCCAAAACTTAAAATCCATTTTTTTCTCATGTCCATACATCTTGATGTCAAGATGATGAATTTGAGGAAATTTGAGCATCAAAACAATCTCTTCTAGTGAAATTTTTTAGATAGGTTTGAATTCGATTGTTTAGAGCCTCGACTCTATATAAAC